AACAATATATGGTAATAATATATGGTCATAATATACGGCAATGATTCATGGAATATATTTTTCGTTACAAAAGTCAATGCAAATTTGCGGCATGCACAATGTAATAATAAAAGAGCTCTCTGTGAGCATTGAGTCAAACACTCACCGATGATGATATTGATGATGTCCCGTTGCATCTAACCAGATCAGTCAATGTCCGCCCATGTCCGCTGCCGCTCTTCATGTCGCGCAGCATCCATCTTGCAGTGCGTCCCACGTTGATTACTACACTTTCGCCACACTTCCGCGACGTGGTCGATACTTGTATGAGAGCGGCGATATTTGCGTCAATTAACAAATGTTTTACGTCGACATCGTTGGAAACTTTTTACGCGCTGCGAAACGGACTCTATAAACTCGATCAGCTAGGAGCAAGAACCGTGTAAAAATTTATCGACTCGTCCAACGGATTTTTACGGCGCTTTTCGCGATCGCGTCTGAAAAATCGCGAAAATGCCGGAGTGTCGATATGTACGAGAATATTCGCAAATGCATGTGAGAAAAGATTTGACAATTAGAAACCGGTCACTCCGAGGGAGCGCAAAGAGAGAGAGAGAGAGAGAGAGCGGGGCAAAGTTTTCACGCATAATAGTTCCGTCACGACGAAGCTTACATTCGCAATACTTTGGCGAAATGAAAATTTAAGCTTTCTTTGTTAGCAGCGCGGGTAAAAACGCGTATATTGATAACCGCGGTCGCGATATTCAAAGGCACGCGAGCGAGGATACCTCAAGCTCGGCGTGCGCTGGCGCAATTTCTGCTCGCAGTATACGCTACTCGAGACAATAGGGATCGTGATGAATGGACAATATTGCCAAATAATTCTACAGCCTGTTTTGGAAATAAAAGAAAAGTAGCCAATGGTATCGGCATTTATGCGTATGAATACATTTTACACGGACAATTGAATATTGTCAAATAATTGTCGTTAAATAATTCTGCGACCCATTTGAAAAATGAAAATAAAGTAGCTGATGACGGTATCGCGTTTGTAGAAATATCTCTTATTCAGATGACTGAACATCAGAAGAGAATCATTCGCTATTTTAAATTTCGTATGTAATGCAGGCTATCGATCAAGTAATCCCCTGATTGTTTCGAGCAATGTATTTTATTCAACGTCACAAACACACACATGCAAAATCTATTTGCAATTCGCATTGACTCGAACGATATTTTATCTCCCATAGTTCCACATCCGTCATGCAGAATTTTGCTTATCTTTTCATTTTGCATTTACTCACCAAAACGACTTGCAGTCAGAGCCGGCTACGTTCCGCTTCAACTCTGTAACAGAAAATTCACATTCGCTTATCAGATTTGACCAACGAGTACGAGCGAGTAAAAGAGTAGTTTACCCTCTGCGATCCTAATTCAAGTCGAGCCGGAAATTATAGCCCAGCTCTAGATCGCCAAAGGTCAAACAGTGGACTATAGTAAACTTGTAAGCTTACCTTCAAGCCGACTCTGCTTGGCCCGAACCGGATCCTCCGGTGCGGCATCCGCGTCCGTCGGATTGCTGTTGCTTTCCGCAACAACTGAAACAGAAAAATAATTTTCCCGGTTGATAACCTGCGGTAGAGAGAGAATATCTTTAATCGGGACAAATCGAAAATACGGAAATATTTTGATACCGAATTTTTATCTTTATATTTTAGTTCCAACATTGAAAATTTAAATGAGACATGAAGCTTTCGAGAGAGCTGATGAGGAACAAAAGCAAAGATTGTAAAGAGTTGAACACAGATGTGTAGGAAACTTGTAAACTTTACCTTCCGGCCGACCCTGGTCTGCTCGAACCAAATCCTCCGGTGCGGCATCCGCGTCCGCTGGACTTGCTTCCCGCAACGTCTGGAACAAAAATTTAGCGTTCCTGGTTGGTAAGCTGCGATAGAGAAAGAATGTTTGGTCGGGATGAGTGGAGAATATTCGCTACGATTCTTTTTCTTCATTGACATCGAAAGTCTAGATAGGAGCTTTTGAAAGAGCTGACGAAAAAAAATGACAACAAGAAGCGGAAACAACAGTTGTGTGCTCTCGAAAATACTCTTTTACGAATGGACATTTAAATTTAGATCCCGTAACGAGAGTAAACAGACTTGGAAGAAGCGCTGACCGAAAACAAAAAAGGTCGCAGTCTAAAAAGAAGGTATGACGTTGAATATTCTGCACAAGACCGGTATACTCATACAGTTGGGAATTATTCAGAATGTTTGATTAAGAACATGATGAATTAGGGATCTGCATTCATGGACCGTTATCCGTCTCTGTCTGGATCGATGTCTTTTGTATACAACAACGCAATAAATAGATAGACAGACAGAGATTGACGAGAGTAATTGCAAATTCACAAAGTGATGATTACTAGTCGGATGATGACGGATTATGAATGCCGAGCGCGAAATTCCGACTTCTTATTCCCGGAAAATTCGTCAAACGTCCGCTCTCGTTATCGGAGACCTCTCGCATAATAAATGATTCCACATACCTGGAAACGTGACGTATCGCTGCCGGCGTTCTGCTTCCAGACTGCTGAAGTCCTCTGGATTTCACTCGCTCACGCTTCTAATACCGATACTCGCGATTCGACCGTGCGGTTAATGAACGCGATGCCTACACGATGCCGATTGAGTATCTCGAGGACCGACGAGATATATTTCTTTTAATTACACGAGATGGAAGTGACGAGTGCGTCGCGCACTGTTGCTGTTGATGGAATGAGGTCGAGTACGCGAGGTGCGCAACTATTAATACGAAGGGCAAAAAGTGTCGTCGCTCGCGAGCCGATCAACACAATCGGCGCGATGTAAACATTGCTGGCCTCGGCGGCGGTTGAAGCAAGAGAGACTTGCCCTTGTGCGTCTCTTCTTTTCTCGAAGGTTCCGAGACGACGAGAGGAATGCGAGGAGGCCTTTCAATTGTATGCGACATTGATTTACTATTTATTGATTACTGAAAATAAAAAAAATTACTCTGTCGAAACATCGGACATTTGTTAGCTTTATGTTAATTAAAGAGGAATGTGTACGATTAGAAAATATGTTAGCAATTAATTGTACAGAGTGTCAAAGTTATTGTGACGCCGGTTTCGGAAAATAATTGAAGGTGATAGCGTTAAAGAAAGGAATTTCATCCCATGCGAAATTTGTCTCGTTCTTATTAAATGTTAGATTATCCGTTGCGGACAATAACTCTTCTACTTTTCATCTAATATTCAATGATGATAAATAACATTTAATTGCATTCGTTTGACTTCTTTTATTTCGAAAACAAAAAAATATATATCAGGGTGGGATTGCACCTATGACAACATCAACGTGATTTTCTTTGATGCTTTTTTTAAAAGTTCAGATATTTCGTCGACTCGCGAGATATTTATAATCGGAGTTTCGTCGCGTTAATTAACACGTGCTCCTCTTAGAGGATCGAATGCTCACCGACGGCCACTGTCAATGCCACGAGCGAATGTCCGGAACGGACGGAATGCTGAATTGAGCAGCAAGACGAAGGAAATGGGATACGAGCAACGATACATTATGCGTCTTCAGACGTGTCAAATCGTTTATTGTACAGAAGATTCTGATACAGCAACATTTGAAGATTTAATATTTAATACGTACTTTTATTTTTCCTGCTCCTGCCTCCTCCCTCCTCCCCCTCTCTTTTTAGACCTCCGGGCATAGTCTGGCATAGAGATGACAACTGTGGTTGCAGCACGGACATAAACCGTCTGAAAGCGGATGTAACACGAACTTCCATCGCATGCAGATTTTATCACCGAGACCTGAAAGTGGATGTAGCATCGTAGTTTCCCTCTCAAAATGGATGCAGATGGCGTCCTTTCCCAATGCAGAAAGTTGGTGTCGCAGAAAATGCGGTGTTGGCCACATAGACTTAGGGCAAGAGCACAGGCTTTTGCATAACACATAATACATAACACATAAGAAAATCAATCAATCAGAGTTCTTCATTTCTGTCCTGAGGAGGGAAATGAAGAAAATTAATTGGTTTATTCTCTTATGTGTTATGTATTATGTGTTATGCAAAAGCCTATGCTCTTGCCCATAGGAATATAGGGACAGAGGAACATAGGAACAGAGCATAGAGTTGCGGGGGGATAACCATTGCGGGACGATGCGACGAGGTAAACTGTGCCTAAATCTAATTGGTGCCGTGTGTAAGTATTTGATACATACATAGATGTGTATGAAGTTGTGTATGTGAGATTATGAAAAAAAGACACATGCATAACTTTTGCAAAATACTGTCAGTGTAAATAGTTCTTATCATTTTGTTACATTTACTATTTGCCAGTGACAGCCAAGTCATTGCATCACGCTCTCTGAATATGCGCACTATTGTAGCCAATGAAACTTAGGCATAGTCACCCCCCGCATTTCAGCACAACTCCCCTCGCCTATCTTGCGGGCTTACGCTCTGTCTCTATATTTCTATGTCTATGATTAGCCGCTTTCAGATTTTTCTCTTCATTGTATGAAATTAAAAAACATGACCGACTTGCAAATACGTACCTCATTTCCATCATAGTTATGTCATACACTACAAAAATAGACACACAAACTTCTCATAAATAAAATGTCACTTTTAAAAAACTTATATGCACGCTGTTTGGCAAAGGGGTTCGCACAGTTTTTTAGATATTTCCAATGGAACGGATTCAAGGGAAAAATTGCAAAATAAATTTTCAACTGTGATGAAATGAAATTAAAATATTTTCTAATAATTTTATTTGATTTTAAACAAAGCATGAAAAGAGGTAGTTATATTTAGAAACAAAATTATAATTCTTTTTTTCGAACAATATGATATATGTATATATGCAGAATTATTACACACATTCGGTATGGTACTTATAGCGTGACATTGACGATGAGCATGTGCTTTTCCTTTATTAGAAATCAAGTAAAGGTATATAAAATTAAAATTGTAATTCAGCAATATATTTTTGGAGTTATATTTATTAATGTACATTAAAGTATATTCTTTTTTAGGAATTGATACATCAAAGTAGAATGGTACGTTAAAGTGTATTCTTTTTTAGAAATTGTAGAAATATCGTTGTCGAAAACAGTTATCATCTGATTAAATCCATTCAGATAAAAATCAAAACAATTTGTTTTCTCATATCGAACGATTGCGAAAACAAATTCCATGATATCTTCATCATTACGAGTGTCATTGGTTCTTAGTCCTTAATTTCTTACTTCTTCTTATTTTTGTTAATCCAACTTAAGAAAGAGGACACTCGTGTAAATACATCAGGACATCCGAGCGCGCATGGTCTACCAAAAGAGGCGATTCCGACTTGAACGTCATTAATCACCAAAGGTCCACCAGAATCACCCTGAAGTAAAAGTACGGATACCGATAAAGAGATTATATTCGGTTAGTATCGCGTCGATAGTGAATATTTGTTTATATGTTATTAAATGTTAGTCATAATTTCTAATCGTCTTTTTGCCTGCGTTGCGATAAAAAATATTCTTGTTTGCGCAAAATAAGCACAACATTTTATTCAATGATGTTTGACGTACTTCCAATAATATTGTAATAAAATGATATAAATGCAATATTCTATGTAATATCAATGCAAACAACTTACATGGCAAACACCTTCTCCTTCTTTCGTCAGAGTACAAATGTGAGTTTTCTGAACTTTTATATTCTTTTTTTCGCACAACGAGAGAGGATATATCTCCAAATCGGTTTCTTTCAAATCGTTTGAAACATCTCCACCGAGCTAAACAAATAAATTATCAGAAAAATTATTACATTATTGATGAAATTTAAAATTCGACTAGTGTATTATGAGCACACAATTACATACGCAAGCAGATCCCCATCCAGTTAATTTGCACGGTCCGTTATCGATGTTAGTAGCCGTAAGATAGATCTTCTGCACCTTGTCGTTAAACTTGATTGGTTCTTTAAGATGAATCAGACCAATGTCATTAATGAGTAGAGGCATGCTATATCTTTCATGGGCAATGAGAGATTCAACTGAATAAACCTCGCCTGTCTCATTGAGAAAGTTCGTGCCGGCGTGGACTTTCAAATAATTCAGCTGGCTTTTTAGCCTAATAAGCAATATAAAGACATGCAAAACTAAAGTTGTATTATACTTGGACGGTAATACATATAAATGAACGCGAATGGTTTGAAACGTACCTTTCGATACAATGTGCTGCTGTTAATATGTTATTTTCGTCGATGATAGATCCGCCGCATATGTGAATCCCGTACCATCTTAACGATATATGAAACGGATATTTTTTGATTTCAACAGTTGTATCCACAACTTGGGAAATCAGCGATCCTTAATGCACAGAAAGAGAGAAACGCATTTCATATCATCGCGCAGAATATGTATCACTGGACACTGTACACACACTGTATGTGTGTGTGTATTTGCGAATAACTTCTAAATAGAATATTGATATTTTATCCGATAACAATTAAGAAATTTATGGTTACATTAGAATAAAAAAAAATATTTGATGGCGTTGACCATAATTACACAATGAATTTCTGTTAGGACAACAAAAGATAGTGGTGGCGGAAATAATTACAATTTTAGTGATTTAATATAATAATCTAACATTTGGCCAGATCATTTGCGACAACAAAAAGTTGTTGAAGTGAACAAAATCAAACAATTTCTTTTTCTTAGGCGTGCTATTTAAAAAAAGATTAAAAGTTTCCTGACAAATTGCGAGGAGGACAAAAGATAAAGATAAAAAAAGATAAAAGATAAAAGACAGACTTGTCGATACTGCGATAAAAGTGACAAGAATTATTTAAAAATTATGTTATATTGCTATCTGCCGCACGCTTATTTTTGTCGTGAGAAATTTTTGTTATACAATCTACACACTCACCCTGAGCGGCGCATTTCAGAGAGATGAGCACAAGAAGAATATACACAACCATTCCGATTCTATGCAGACCTGTCAGTATTGGTTTAAGAAAAATTGTATCCATGAGTTTGTATATGTTTCAATATTGCTTGCGAAAGAGATACGGTTATAATAATAACATAATAATGACGTTTATGAATGAAATTTTAATCGATTTCATACCATGCACAATAAAGCACGCTTAATTTCGTTGTAATTTTTATGTTTCTACAGGATTATTTGAAACAATTTACTGTCCTTGAAATTACATGTTCTTAAATGAATTTTAAGACAATTTTTCCTCTTGTAAAGTGTTATCCGAAGCTTACATTTTAAGTTATAAAGGTAAGTTGTTTGCTTGTTACAATTCGAGCATGGAAGGTATAGGCAGGGATGGCAAGCGTTGATGTTGAACGCGTGATGCGATGAGTTTATCGATTCATATGATAACATTTTACACATCATTTTTATAACTTCCGTTAATGATCATGCGGTTGAATCAAACGCCGCGAAAGAAATTTGCAAAGTTGATACGCGTTTCTCTCTTACGCAAACGCGTATGATTGCGTAGAGAAACTTAATAGTTGACAGCGATGTTGTCTGCATATAAACGGGTTAATGTGATCATAAAACAGCAAGGATTAATGCGATCGTAATAGCGAATTAAGTGTTTTAAATTAGTAAGACACGATTGTAACATAATGTTTGAAGATAAATTATTTATTACGCGAGCATTCTTTTTCAAACTGAAAATGAACTCTCTAGGATGCTAACTTCGTCAAATATGTGTGTTAGCAGATAACTATCTAACAGAATGACATTACGATATACGAGCAACCTTTTGATATCTGTATTACATGACTTTTCCACAAAAGTGATGCAAAAGATCAAGAAATGTTTATTTACAATGTCGTAATAAAAATAATGGTAAAGCACAAGGCAAGTGAACAAAGAGATATGAAAGACATATTAATATTGAAAGAAGTTTTAAACATAGCGAGATATACGTACAAGTTTGCAGTCATATGAAACGATAGAACGTACCGAACTATACATGTTCTTATATTATTACTTATCAGCTTTTATACTATTCCTTATATCTTATTCCTTATAACATATACTTATCTGTATCATGTTTATTCATGATTTGCGTTTCACAAACATGGCTGACGCGACATATTTTAAACACACTTCAAATAATAAATCTAACTTCAACGTAACTTGTTATTAAGCTTTTACTAGACTTATAAATAACAGAACAGAAATAAAAAATAAGAGGAAAACAGAATAGAAATAAAAAGTAAGAGGGAAACGGACGTCGATGAATCATCATATCGAGCTGGTTGTTGATATATGAATATTTATTTATTTAGATATTTGCAGTTAGGAGTAACATTTTATTATATATAATTATACGATGTTTTCAGTACATGTCATGGATTAAGTGGCAATTTCACGTGAAGATATATGACAAATAATAAATCTTACTCCAACGTAATTTATTATTACGCTTTTATTACACTTGTAAATAAATAGAACAGAAATAAGATAAGACGGAAACAAGGACGTCGACGAATCATCATATCAAGCTGGTTGCTGATATGTATACATGAATATTTATTTATTTAGATATTTGCAGTTAGGAGTAACATTTTATTATATATAATTATACGACATTTTCAGTACATGTCATGGATTCAGTGATAATTTCATGTTAAAAAACATAACCGATCTTGTAACTACGTGTATCGCTTCCATCGTAGTTGTTACATCACACTCTACAAAAATAAACACACAAATTTCTCATAAATAAAATATCACTTTCAAAAAACGTATATGCACGCTGTTTGGCGCAACGGTTTGCACAATTTTTTAGATACTTTCGACGATTTAAGGGAAAAATTGCAAGATGAATTTTCTGACAATAATGAAATTAAATCAAAATATTTTCTAACAACTTTATCTGGTTTTAAATAAAGCATGAAATGGGATAGTTATAATTAGAGACCAAATTTAATCTTTTTTTCGAACAGTATGACATTTGTATATATGCAGAATTGTTAGACACATTCGGTGTCTACTTGATACTTATGGCGTGGCATTGATAATGAACGTGTGCTTTTCCTTTAGAGATCGAGTAAAAGTATATAAAATTAAAGTTGTAAATCAGAATTGTACTTTTGAAATTACATTTATTAAAGATACAGGAAGTCCCATTTTAAAGGACCCACTCAAATATCTCAGAAACACTGCGTTAAATCGAAAAATGCTTAAGACAAAAGTTTGTGTAGCTTGAAGGGGGATATAGACCAGCGATAGCATTTTGTTTATAGATGGTTCCATTTTCGAGATATTTACTGATTATCAATTTTCTTAAATGAAAATTCAAATTTTTTTATTATATCATCTTCTTCTACTAATTAATTTGAACAACTTTTGTCTGAAACATTTTTTTATTTGCTTAATACATTGTGAGATATTTAAGGAAAACTTAGTAACTTTTTCAACATTTACCTTACGATATCTCGCTAACTATTCGTCGAAAGAAAAAATAATATTAGACTTTTTACTTTGTTTACTGTCAAGAATATATTACTATAATAGTGTCCTAACTTTTATTAATTTAATAATTTTGAAATTTCCAAATGTCAATAAATTAATAAAAGTTGGGGCACTATTATAGTAATATATTCTTGATAGTAAATAAAGTAAAAAAGTCTAATACTATTTCTTGTTTCGACGAATAGTTAGTGAGATATCGTAAGGTAAATGTTGGAAAAGTTACCAAGTTTTCCTTAAATATCTGAAAATATATTAAGCAAATAAAAAAATGTTTCGGACAAAAGTTGTTTAAATTAATTGATAGAAAAAGATGATATAATGAAAAACTGGAATTTCCATTAAAAAAATTGATAATCAATGAATATCTCGAAAGTGGCGCCATCTATAAACAAAATACTATAGCTGTCCTATATCTCCCTTCAACCTCAACAACTTTTGTTATAAGCATTTTTCGATTTAACGCAGTGTTTTTAAGATATTTGAGTGGGTCCTCTAAAATGGGACACCCTGTATATTAAAATATATTCTTTTCTTAGAAATTGTAGAAATCTCGTTGTCGAAAACAGTTATCATCTGATTAAATCCATTCAGATAAAAATCAAATCAATTTGTATTCTCATATCGATCGATTGCGAAAACAAATTCCATGATATCTTCATCATTACGAGTGTCATTGGTTCTTAGTCCTTAATTTCTTACTTCTTCTTATTTTTGTTAATCCAATTGAAGAAAGAGGGCACTCGTGTATATACATCAGGATATCCGAGCGCGCATGGTCTACCAAAGGAGACGATTCCGACTTGAACGTCATTAGTCACCAAAGGTCCACCGGAATCACCCTGAAGTAAAAATACGGTTACCGATAAGGAGATTACATTCGATTAGTAGTATCGCGTCGATAGTGAATGTTTGTTTATATGTTATTAAATGTAAGTCATAATTTCTAATCGTCTTTTTGCCTGCGTTGCGATAAAAAATATTCTTGTTTGCGCGAAACAAGCACAACATTTTATTCAATGTTTTATTTGCTTATTCAATGATGTTTGACGTACTTTCAATAATATTGTAGTAAAATGATATAAATGTAATATTCTATGTAATATCAATGCAAACAACTTACATGGCAAGCACCTTCTCCTGCTTTCGTCAGAGTACAAATGTGAGTTTTCTGAACTTTTATATTCTTTTTTTCGCACAGCGGGAGAGGATATATCTTCAAATCAATTTCTTGCAAATTGTTCGAAGCATCTCCATCGAGCTAAACAAATAAATTATCAGAAAAATGATTACATTATTGATGAAATTTAAAATTCGACCAGTTTATTACGAGCACACAATTACATACGCTAGTAGATCCCCATCCAGTTAACTTGCACGGTCCGTTATCGATGTTAGTAGCCGTAAGATAGATCTTCTGCACCTTGTCGTTAAACTTGATTGGTTCTTTAAGATGAATCAGACCAATGTCATTAATGCGTAGAAGTATGCTATATCCCTCATGGGCAATGAGAGATTCAACTGAATAAACCTCGCCTGTCTCATTGAGAAAGTTCGTGCCGACGTGGACTTTCAAATAATTCAGCACGTTTTCTCTCCTAATAAGCAACATAAAGACATGCAAAACTAGAGTTGTATTATACTTGGACGGTAATACATATAAATGAACGCGAATGGTGTTTGAAACGTACCCATCGATGCAATGCGCTGCTGTTAATATGTTATTTTCGTCGATGACAGATCCGCCGCACATGTGATCTCCAAACAATCTTAACGATACTTGATACGGATATTTGCCGATTTCAGCATCTTTGCCACCCACAATTTGAGGAATCAGCGATCCTTAATGCACAGAAAGAGAGAAATAAACGCGTTTCATATCATCGCGCAGAATATGTATCATTGGACGTTGTACACGTATGTGTGCGTGTATTTGCGAATAACTTCTAAATAGAATATTGATATTTTATCCGATAACAATTAAGAAATTTATGGTTACATTAGAATAAAAAAAAATATTTGATGGCGTTGACCATAATTACACAATGAATTTCTGTTAGGACAACAAAAGATAGTGGTGGCGGAAATAATTATAATTTTAGTGATTTAATATAACAATCTAACATTTGACCAGGTCATCTGCGACAACATTGAAATTAACAAAATCAAACAAACAATTCCTTTTTCTTGGGCGTGCTATTTAAAAAACATTGAAAGTTTCCTGACAAATTACGAGGGGAACAAAAGATAAACATAAAAAGAGATAAAAGTTAAAAGACAGATACTTGCCGATACTGCGATAACAGTGACAAGAATTATTAAAAAAAACACGTTATATTGCTATCTGCCGCACGCTTATTTTTGTCGTGAAAGATTTTTGTTATACAATCTACACACTCACCCTGAGCGGCGCATTCCAGAGCGACGAACACGAGAAGAGCGTATACAGCCATCCTGATTGCAGACCTGTTGGTACTAATTAGAACAGTATTGCATTCCTAGGTTTATATGTGTTTCAATATGCTTGCGGACAAGATATGGTTCACGTGATAGCAACGTTCATGAATGAAATTTTAATCAATTTTATATCATGCACGATAAAGCACACTTAATTTCGTTGTCGTAGTTTGTGTCTCTAATATAGATTGACGCGAGCGTTAAGACGGATCAATTTCGCTTTTTTATCCAGAAGTTTTTAAAAGATTAGGAAATCCCTGTCGGTTATCAGAGAAGTACGGATTACGGTCTCAAGGTTAGTTTATTTTTATCTGGTCTACATATTTCTATATCTCTCACAATTTATGATAACGCCGTTATATCGAATGTGATATGTGCTTAATCCTGTCCGTAACCGATGTATCTTGTTTTAATGAGCATAAACAAAAGAAAAAAAATTGATAAATATAACGAGCAAATGGAAAATAATGTTCTATTCGTCGCAGTTGTAGCAATTGTCTCTATTGGATTTAATTGCATGTAATTAGATTGGTAAAGTAAAATATAAACCATTTCTTTACAAATACTAATGTAATATACTCTTAAAAGGTAGATATGCCCAAATAATATTCGAATGTATCGAATATTAATAATATAATAAATTTGTTGAAATTAACTTGAATGTATCGACATACTACTGTGATAAAAAAATAAGGTCAATTTTTCATTTAAACTTCGCGGGTATTATAAAATCATGAAATTATTTTTTTGTGGGTTGGTAGCACTGTCTTTGACATTTATGCAGAGTTTCATGTCAATATATTCAATTACTGCAGAGCTATACGTGTTTTTGTAAACATACAAAAGTGAGTTTTTCGATTTTTACTATGTCTGATTTTGTTGAGCAAAGAATTTACATTAAATTTTGTTTGCGGAATGAATATTCTGCCACGGAAACATTGAGGATGTTGCAGAAGGCCTTTGGTGATAAGGCTATGTCGCAAGAAAATGTTTACAAGTGGTACAAAGACTTCAAAGAAGACCGAGAACGAGTTCAAAACGAACAACGCTCCGGACGACCATCAACATCTACCGATGAAAGCCACGTCAAGGAAATCAAACTGTTAACAAGGAATATTATTTGAGTGTTATGCGCCGTTTGCGTGAAGCTATTCGCCTCAAGAGGCCAGAATTATGGGCAGACAATTCTTGGTTTTTGCATCACGATAATGCACCGTCCCACACTGCATTGGTTCTTCGAGAACATTTCGCCAAAAATTCGACCCATATCGTTCCACAACCACCGTATTCGCCTAATTTAGCACCGTGCGACTTCTGGCTGTTCAACAAACTCAAAAGACCGCTCCGGGGACACCGTTTCGACTCGATTGAGGAGATAAAAGCCGAATCGAAGAAAGTATTGAAGGCCATCCCGGAAAAAGACTTCTCTGACTGTTTCGAGGATTGAAAAAACCTTGGCATAAGTGCATTGTGTCGGACGGGGAGTACTTTTAAGGCGATGAAATTGATTTGGAAGAATAAATTTGGAAGAATAAATAAAGATTTTCCATTTTAAAAACAAATTCACCTTATTTTTTGATCACAGTAGTATATTACACTTATAGTACGCTATTGAATTTTATTTGAGCCTGAAGTTCCATATATGAGTGTAAAATATATAAAATAAAATATATTAATAGCTCGCGCGCATTGCAAATTTATCGTTAGTTTTTAGTGCAACTGCGCCAAGATTTTGCATTAAATATTTTTATTGCATTGCACAATTAATTGTAATAATTATTATAATAAGTAATTGTAACTCTTGATACGTTACATAGTTACGAGGTTGACTGATATCAGCGACGAGCAATTGCTTTTTTATCCTTCGCAAACATGAATTTAATAATTCATAAGTATAATCTATAAATATATCGTTGTATGATCAAAATTTGAATAAATATATTCGTTAAACTCTTATGGTGGTCTTATGGTGGTCTTATACATGATACTTTTACAACTTTTATGACTCGTACGTTGTCATTAACAATGAAAATTTAAGATTTATAATATAGTGTTTTATTTTATAAATTTCGCGGATAAATTTTATTTTTAAGATGTGGTATATACATGGCAGTAACAGAAAAAGACATAGCTTTTGCTAATAGGAACTGCCATAGCCCGAACAAATTTCGAATACTGTTCGAGTACTGCAGCTGATATGAAAGCCTTCTCTAATATTTTCAACTGTCCAATGGGAAACTTACCGAATATTAAGACGAATTAAATAAAACAAAAATGTTAATCATTTAGAAAAATAACATGTTCTATCATGCGAAAAAGGCGTTTTTAATACATTAACTCAACAGTATAATTAAGAAAATGGAAATTAGATAATATTATAAAATCTCTTAATGTTGCTAAAAATAAAAATAATGTTCTACTTAAAACAAACTAGTTGTTTCGAAAGTTCAAAATTGTACCTTTTTATGTACATTGATCTGGCATTTTTAAAATAATCTAATTTATGATATGTAAATTTAAGATTTAACACATCCAATATATTCAGTGGATTCAACTTTTGTTAACATTATAGCTATTAATGAAAGATAAACTCATATAATAAAACTTCATATTAGAATTGGTCGCTTTGGTCCAATATGATTAGAAATCCCGAATTCTATCGGCTAAATAAAAATTTAAAAACTGGTCGCAAATGGCGCTAATATATTTTATGAATATATGTATATTTTATGAAACTGTATAGAATTATGATTAAAAATATAACACATACCATAAGAAAATAATAAAAATTGAAGATACATTCAAAAGAACATATAATTTCTGTTGACCTACAATCTGAAATTATTATTCTGACCTTACGATATTCAAGGGAAATATCATACATAACCCGCAAGGCGGATATAAAAATGGCGAACTTGTCATAAAATCAGCAATTAACAGAGCAAACATGAATTTTCTTTTTATTTCTATTCTATGTGCTATATAGTTTGAATAATGCAACTTAAATTAAAAATTATCGGTTTATGCTTTGCTCTTCACTGGTGACGACGATGTCCGCGATAATTATCGCGTCTTGCTTCAGAGAAGTATGTGGAAAATTATCAGACATATTGTATTTAAGGATCTTTTTTATTTATGTCACAAAAGGTCAAAATGAAGTATTTCTTAAAACAAAATACTCATACAAAAAGTAAAAAATTGGATGTTTTTTTACATGTACCTAACACTTAGGAGATAATACAATGTAACATATTATATATAAGTACATACATACGACGTAACTTCGAAAACTGTTAACGTAAAATAAACTCCACGCGTACTCAGAGATCAAGTTTCACGTACTTTCTATTTAAATTTCCTTTCGCAACGTGTGATATATTTTCTACCATAACAATAAATTCTACGTAGCATGGCTAGTATCACAATTCCGGCGTTTTATCTCTGCAACAAAAGTACGATATGCGCTAGAGAAACAGACAAGTAGACAAAAAGTGAAGTACGTAAGAAATGTGTGGTACTCTCGACTATAACTTATAGAATGATTCATTTTTACAAATCTTAATGAAGTTCATGATGAGACGGGTCTATGTACAAATGAAAGTAGATACACTATAGGTATGAAGAACGCAGTAATTCAGACACGTCGACGTAGAAATTCGCTGTTTTCTTATAACATATGAAACCTTAAGTGTGTGACACATTGTGTATGAAGCTATGCTAGAATCTGCACATTACAATAGCAGTCATCTAATTCGCTGAGCACATCGAAGTACATCTACAATACAATGTAAAGTACAGTCGTTCTACACGAAAACTTAACACAAGTTGTAAAAAATAATACTAGTATTGTACAAGCGAGTATATCTAGTAGCTGCACGACGAGGGTCTCCATCAAACGAATACTATCTGATATTTGTACAAATTAAAACAACGGAACGTTCATCCGAATGCTCCATCGAATGTCACCTAAAAACTTAACGAATCACTATATACCGATTTTACGTCTAAATTTTCCTGCCTCTAACGCTGAGAAAATCTCCCTTCCTAACCTAAAAAATCTCATGGGCTGCATGCAGCGTCGGCTCCCAGCATGCGAAAAGTGAACGCATTAGGGTTTACAGTTCAAATCCTCAGTATTGTATACTTGCAATCGTACGCGATACGAACTTTTAAAAAATGCAATAGGCATTTCGCACCACGACGGTAGAAAATGTAAAGGAGATTTAGACTTTCGTCTACGCTAACACTTTGTAATCTTGTTGGCACGACGATCAATTAACTCGCTACGGAGAAGACGATTTTCTCTTGGGCCTTTCGCCGAAGAGGTATGACATTCGATGAGGTCGACGAACCGTCCGTACGAGAAATTCAGGTGGCTCAGGTGGCTTTGTTGCCCGCGCGGAAGCGAGACATGTAGAAGTCGCAGTCCGTGCAGTAGAGCGTAGGCTCGAGCACGGTTCTCTTCCGGCAGAGGTTGCACGGATTCACGCACGCCCTCACGGTGGCCACGATGCTCGTCGGCGTCTGCATAGTGGACTGCGTCATTATCGGTTGCGTCATCGAGACGACTTTCGCGGTGGACATAGCGAAGTGCAACTGCTTGGGCAGCGGTGGGTGTTGGTAGGCGGGATACTTCATGTTCGACTGTATCTGACCGTTTTGAACGGTCTTCGGATAAGTCTGATTGGAACCCAGGATGTTTGGCTGATCTACCTTTTGAGGTGGCCGCTGATAACTGTCGTGTCTCTGTTGATAATTCACTGTGTTTTGCTGTTGCTGCTGTTGTTGTTGTTGTTGTTGTTGCTGCTGCTGCTGCTGCTGCTGCTGCTGCTGTTGTTGGTAAGACGTAGCTGGAGGGTTGGGCGGTGGTTGGTACTGCGGCAACGGTTGGGTCATTCTACTTTGCGGAGGAACAATTTGGTAGGGATAGGGAAATTGACCGTATTGATACGGACCTGGTGATTGATTGGGAGGATACGAGAACTGTTGTTGCTGCTGCTGCTGCTGCTGCTGCTGCTGCTGCTGCTGTTGCTGTTGCTGCTGCTGCGAGTGCTGCACGGTTATCGGGCTAGCGTTGTGCGTCGGGATTCTCTGGCTCAGGGTGTTCTGTTGCGGCTGCACGATCGCCTGCTTGTTTATCTGATTGTGCTGCTGCTCCAGCTGATAATACGTCCCAATGGGGTAGGTTTTCGGCAACAGTTTCGCCTGCTGGATACCGTTCTGGATGTATTGGCCATGTACTTGCGTGGGATATGGGCTGGCTGGTTTCTGGGCTTGCGACTGAGGAATAGCCTGATTCCGTGGATGAGACGTCTGCGTCTGCGGGTATAGCGACTGCACGAACGGCGGAAATCCATTCTGAATGTACCTGATCGGCTGCTGCAGCTGCGGCGAGTACGACGCGGGTTTCGTGGTACCGTTGACCGGTGTGCTGGAGTAAGTCTCTCTGACCACGTCTTTACCTTCGTTCCCGTAAGGCTTCTTATCCGTTAACGAGCCGATCGAGTCGCTCGAATTCTGTCGCCCGAACGTGGGCTTGATGGTATCTGGGATTAGTATCGGATTAACGCTCCTTAGCTGATCCTGGAAGGGTGTCGCTGGCACGCTGTCGGCTTCGCTCTTCAAAGGAAGAGTCTGCTGCTGGAACTTTGTGGCAGTGTTCTCGCGATTCATCTCTGCCTCTTGGAGGCTTCTGATTTCTCGCAGTACTTGGGCAGTTTCCGGTTTGTTCATCGCTGAACGTAGGACCCTCTCTAGGATAGGATTGGGTATGTATGAGTCCTTCTCGTCGTCTTCCGCTGTGGCTACGAGCACTACTTGGTCGCAGAAAGACACGCTTTTCTTCTTCCCCATCCGCCGTTTCACCTTTCTCGGAGCAATGTCCTCTTCGTTCGGCAAGATCGTTGTGTTCTGAATGGTGTTCTGCATCGCCACCTCGCTGATGTCGTCCTCCGGATAATCAACAGGCAAGCCGTTCTCATGCGGTAGCGTCAAGGACATCGACAGTATCGCCGCATTTAGCCCGCTCTGTTGAACGCTGGAATTGTTCGGCGGTACCAGCGAGATAAAAGTGTTTTGGCTTGAGTTCGACTCGAAGCCGGAGTTCGAGACCGACTGAGAAGGCGGGACTTCCGCCTTCGCGAAAGCTGTCGGATTCTCGGATGATAATTTGGCCGGTTTCGTCTCTTCCACCGTTGACACTTCCTGAGGAACATCGGACGACAATAGCATCGGGGACAAGCAGTTCGTGCTCTGCTTTGCCTGGACTTTTATGTCCACCTCTGATTTCGAGGTCGGTTGCAGTTTGATCTGCTCGAATCTGGCAGCCATGTCCTTCACCGAGGAGACTACTCGTGGACAGTCTGTGACGTCGCGACCTACTTGATCGTATCCCTGTCCAAGACTGTTCATCATCAAGTCGCTGGTTCGCCTGGCAATGGTTGATCCTTGAATCGTCGGTGTTCTCACCTTCGGAATATCTTGATCCAGGGATCCTTGCCTCTTCATCTTTCTCTCAGCCTGCTTAGCTTGCAGCTCTCTCAGCCACGTCTCGCTGGACGACTTCTCCTCTTCCTCGTGCTCCTCCGGCCGTTTCTCGTCGTTCAATTCGCCAGTCAAGATCTGCTCCCTTTTGCTCTGTAATTGCGCCAATAGACTGCTGATCTGCTGCGCCTCGAATTGCTGCGGACGTTGCTGCAGCTGAACGGAGACTTGATGCTGCTGCGTCTCCTGAAGATGAATCGGTTCGTCGATCGGCGGCGGTGGCGGCGGAAAGTCCTCACTGGCCTGTCTCGAATGCGACACTGAGTGAATCGATGGATACGGAGGTGGTGGGAAGTCCTCACTCGGTTGCCTCGAATGCGAGGTGTTTCCGTTTTCGGGGTAAGGTGGCAAAGGGTCCAACTGGGACTGTTGCTTAGAGGGACTCTGCTCGTTGTGCACGTCGGCGCGAGTGACGACGAAGGTCGGCTCGTAGAGTATGCCGTTGGCGTATTGCACAACGTCGTCTTGGATCCTAGGCTTGCTGTTGTAGTTCGTTTGACAGGTGCCAGCGACATTAGCACTCTGCTCGTTGTAGGACGGTAGGAATGGAAGAGAATGTGATTCTGACGAGTAATCGGAATAGTTGGAGTTCCTGTTGGACGCATTAGACGAGTTATTAGTGCTCATGTGGTTCCAATAAGCAGCGTTCTGATCCTGCGACTGGTTGGCTGTACACTGACCGTCGGGCAAAGGATATGCAGTCTTGTCGGATTGCTGCTCGTGCACTTCGCCCGAACACTTAGACTTGCTAAGCTGAGAAGTGGTCCTGAGCGGAGGGGGCGGAGGCACCTTCGCCACGTGTAACACTTTGCCGGCGCTGCCGTGGAAGCTCTTCCTCATCAGCCGGCTTCGCTCGAGATTCGGGTTGCTAGTGTTCCCTGGTCCGCCATTTCCGGCAAACTCCAGGTGTCCTTCCGAGAGGTAGCCGCTCAGCGATTGACTCACGTCGTTGCCCTTCAAACCGACGCTGGAATCGTCCACTGACTGCTTAGGCAAGGTGTTGGAGGTTCCCTCCGCGTTCTCGTTCGCTTGGCCGTCTTGCCCTTCGCGCAAATCTGGCATGCTCCTGTTCTTCCTCTTGATCAATCCGCCCATCAGCAGTTTCCTGCGAATTTTGTGCTGCTTTTTGCCCTGCTTCTGCTCTATCACGGCCGCGTTGTTGTTAGGCTGTACGCTCCTCACAGTAGACGTGTTAACCTCGACGTTTTCCTTCGGCTTCTCAATCTTCGTACCTTTTGGCGACGGCGATGCTCTGGACGGTGCTATCGAGAAGTCCTTCGATACGTTTTTGTTCCTCTCCTCGCTCCTGGCGCGCTTCTTGTCCTTCTTGTCGTCCTCGCAACGTTTCGTGCGGCTGAACAAACCGGTCCTCTGCGTCGGGCGATCGTACAGCATGTATTCCTCGTCCTCGATGACGTTCACTGCCGTCGCTTTGCTACGTAGAGTCTTCTTCTTCGGTAGAGTCGCGTAAATCTCGATGCTCTTCGTGGCAGGCTTGTCCACTACCGTCGGCGCGGCGTTCACCAGGAGCTCCCGGCTATTCTGTCGAGAATGATTACCCTTGTCCCGCGAGCTCTGCCTCGAGTGTTGACTCGACTTGCTGTTCTCTCGGGAGTGTTTTCCTTCCGGTGCCCCTTCTAAACAAAGAAAAAAATGTCGAATGCTCCTACTACTCGCACTATATTTATAACGATTATCAACGATGCCTCACCTTCCTTGTCGCCATTGACGGTTGCCTGTTCCTGCAGCATCCTCCGATGCAAACTCCTCATCCGCATGACGCAGGTGTTGTGTTTCATTCTCGCTATCGTGATCGTGTGAGGATTGTTGTACGGGGCGTCCATCGCGGCTCTGGCTTTGCTGCTGGCCGCGCTGCACAGCGCCACGGCAGTGCTGAGATCGCCGGCATCTTCAGCCGCGCGCGACTTGTCCAACAGCGCGTCCGTTTCCTTGCACAACCGCTCGCAGTCGTCGCCGGAAGACGGTTGGTAGCCCTCTGGTATTTGAGCAAGCTGCAAGACGAAAAAGAAATTTGTGAGTATCTCTTGCCAAGTGAAAGTTTGCGATACTCGAGACCTGATGACGTCCCGTGATCCTCCTCGACACTCTTCCTTCACCTGTAAGTTATGTTTCAGGCCTTGCTGAAGCGGAAGACTGTCCGTAGAAGACAAAGAATACGAGTCGTAGCCGGCGTCGTAATGACCACTGCTGCTGCTCGACAGTTCCCCGGACTTGCTGGTGGGGCTCTTGGGTACACCCGAGTTTCTTTGCATCTTGTTGACGATGTAAAGGTACGGGTTGTCCATGGTGGTCGAGGAGCTCGAAGACGCGCTGTTCCGGTCACCGGACCAATTGCCGGAATCTCGTCTTCGGGGCACATTCATGTGATCAAGAATGCTGATTCCGTCCTGCGGCGCTGAGCCGGCGCTTAGACTGCGCGTCAGTTGCATCTGCTGCTTCTTTTGATGCTGCATCACGTTCTCCACGGTGCGGCGACTGATATACTTCGACTCCACCTCGCCGTCGACTACGTCCACACCCTGCGCAAGATGAAGTTCAACTTATTCAACTGCTGCAACGTCCGTGTCTCGCGACGAAGGGAGCGCAGATTCGCGAGGGACCGTTGATAATTGCTGATTGTAACGCACCTGATTGCCGAATATGTTGTTTTGGATGTCGGTGAGATTCTGATAGTCGCTGTAAATACTTCGCTGAGTGTAAAGATGGGGCGGACTGTCAGGATTGGGTGTGATGGCACGCCTGGCAGTGCTGTTGATGGATGGCTTCTCAGGACTAGGTGTAATGGAACGGCGAACGTTGTTCTTCGGGGACGTCTTCAGGCCATTCCCGTTCGGAAAAGGGATAACAGTTTTTGGAGCGTTCTCGGTATTAACGGGAGTTCCGGCGGGCGTTGCGTACAGCAACAGCAGAGGTTGGTAACGGCCTCTCCTGCACTTCTCCACCACTTGCTCCCACCGAGGTCCGATCTCCTTCACAGTGGCGTCATCGAAGTAGATCCACACCTGGAGTGTTAGTTTTCCCGAATTGCTAATCGATTCAGTCGCCATAATCGTGAAGATTACCAAAATCTATCACTGACCTTTAACTTCGTGTGAAAAAAGAAGGTGGAATAGTGTTTCCCATAATAGGTGACCACTCCTACGAGATTATGCACAGTGGAGGCGCCCCATCGGGAGTCTACGACGCTGTGGAAGACATCGCTGAGCCGGAGGCATGTGCCCACAGTCGCGAAGACGTCCATGATATGCTCCAACGATGGCCGCTCGCTGTCCCAGACGACACCGACGGAAACTATTTCCGGTCGATTCATCAGAGTCCGGCATATTTGAATTTTCGCTCCGCAGGAGCTCTGTGAACGAAGGAGGCGAAGAGGAATATAGTTTTCGCGCGGTGTAGTAGCGGCCGCAATGATGATGACTCCAGGACTATGGATTTCGGTCAATCCACCGCGAAAGCTTCCGAGCGAGAAAGTTTCGATGACCGTGATGAGACACGAATTCGTGAGAAAAGAAGCATTCGGAAGATGGTATGTGGATGAGTCAGTACAGTTCGATGCGTCACCCTTAGGCTTCCTTGGACCGTAAAACCCCGTAAGATCCTGCACGCGACGCGTCGCTCACAGCGTCGACCGAGCGTTTTACGAAACAACGCGTGCAATGGAGCCTCGCTTACCGGGCAATCGCGGATGTCTCCCATCCCGCCAGCCTTCCGGAGAAGTTGCCCGAAGAGGTCCGGGCTGTTTCTGGAACTCGGCGACGTCTGGCGAGCCTGCGACGTCAGTGCCGACGCGGACACGTAATGCACCATCTGCGAACAGAACGATGGCGATGTCATAACGCGTGCGTTTGTCCAGCGGAAACTCACAGGAGATTCCGAACTTGCGTTTCGCAAGTTCGGAAGCTCAGCTCAACGCTGTAGGTAGGTTAGTTGACAGCCAAGGCTACTCCCCGTGGAGGTGGAAGTCGACACTTTTTTGCACGGCGAGCGAGAGACGGTAAAAGCTATCGGCCATGACCGATACATAATAGCAACTAGTTTCATGCTTTTTATGGTTCGCCGATCAACGATGCCCGATACGAGCACGCCAAGGGAAACCAACTCCACCCACGAGATGCTGGACGCCGTGCAGAACGTTACCCTCTCCGTCGCCCGTTGCAAGGAGCTCCTGTCCGACTTGAATCACGAAAAGAAGATGCGAGCCCGAATTGCAAGAACGTATCTTTTCGGTTGTAACGTTAACGACAGCACATTAGAAGGCAGTTACGTAATTACGAAGCTCATTACAAAGCAGTTATACAAGGTGAGGAAAAAGTCCCGGACCGATAAAATATCTCGAAAACCAAGCATTTTAGAAAAACATGTTTCGGACAAAAGTTGTATGATTTCAAGGGGAAGATAAAACAACTATATCATTTTGTTTACAAATGGCACCACTTTCGAGATATTCACCGATCATTAACGTTTCTTGGAAATGGAAGCCCCGATTTTTCATTACATCGTCTTTTCTTACCAATTAATTTAAACAACTTTTGTCTCTTTTTTTTAAACATTTTTTTATTTGCCTAATATTTTTTGAGATATATAAGGAAAACTTGATAACTTTTTCAATATTTAATTTTACGATATCTCGCTAACTATTTGTCGGAAAAAAATGGTACTAGACTTTTTTGCTCTATTTAATCTCAAGAATATATTGTTACAATAGCGCTCGGATTTTTGTTAACTTACTGACTTTTGGAAATTTCAAAATCATTAAATTAACAAAAGTCAGGACGCTATTGTAACAATTCTTGAGGACTTTTTCCTCACCCTGTATAATTCTTACGCGACAATCACGATTACATCACCGTCTATTAACTAATATCGACTTCTTTTCTCAGAAGCAGAATATCCCTGCGTTCTTCCCGCGATTTTTTCGGCATTCAAAGAGATTTTCACGGCTACAGGCGATTGTAGATAACTTACAGACAACGACCGTAGAAGATTATATTAGTAGCGCCAATCTGATATTGCTTTCGTCAAGAACTTTTTTCCCTTAACGATCCTTTCTCGTGAAAACTGAACATTTTGACACAAAAGATTTTATATTTTTCCGACGGTCACACACAAAAGAGGCGCCAGTTTTTGTCCGAAAGCCTGCTGACCCATCTGTGTCTGCGCTTTTAGATCCGTCAAGGGTTTTACTACCCTTCTTTCCCACAAGAAAAGGACCGAAGCCTCCTACGAACCTACTACAGACTTACTATTACTACGAGAGTAGTACTATATCCATTTTCTCATCTTTGGCGACTATGTGCTTTGTCAAGCCGTTTCGAGCCACGGAGGCCACAAAGATTTTATACAGAATGTCTCGAAAGTCCGGCTAAATATCTCGAGAATGAAGTATATTAGAGAAAAATGTTTCGTACAAAAGTTATAGAATTTCAAATGACGCATCATATATCAATACTAGTATGACCTTGAACAGCATCATCAAGATTATGGGAAAGTCACCTTAAATTTTTTTTTAAATAGGAACCCCCATTTTTTATTATATCATCTTCTTCTACCAATTAATTCGAACAAATTTGTCTGAAACACTTTTTTTTATTTTCTTAATATTCTTTTCAACTACTTGCCGGAAGAAAAAGTGGCGAGGGTACTGGACATTTTTACTCTGTTTGGTCTTAGGAATATGCTGTTACAATAGTGCCCCAACTTTTGTTAACTTGATGATTTGGAAATTTCCAAAGGTCATCAATTCTTTCTTTCCAAAGATCGATCAATATTTTCGAGATATTTGGCCGGGACTTTTTGGACACTCTGTATAACACAGATCAAATCCACCAATGTAACACCTGGTGGGACCGTTGATACGTGATATAACTGACCGAAGGAAGATGCCGAAGAATGACACTATGAAACTGGGCGTTTCAGACTTGCAGACGAGATCCATTGTCGGTCGTCTACCTTCGCGAATTTACGGTGCTCGCAAGAACCCATTATGGGCACAGAAAGATCTACAAGCTCGCGCACGTACGAAAATACGTAAAAATTATGCGGCAGTTTACTAGCTAGCATGAAGAATATTAAGCAATTCATAAAAAGCAGAGAGAGAGAGAGAGAGAGAGAGAGAGAGAGAGAGACGCATTTCTCAGACGCAGCGTCCTTCCGCGTTTCGCGCGCGGCTAAGCAACCATACCCAACGCATGAGAGCGAAAAGCATGATATATTAATTACACGAACTTGTGTAAAAGGCAGTGGCTCCGAGGTTGCACCGCAAGCCCCGCAGACGCTTTGCTCGACGAGAGTCATAGCGAACTTCTGGTGCGGCACACAATGCCTCGCGCTGCACATATCCTCGGCCTCGCCACTGGCGATATGCAGGTGTATGCGTAAGAGGATGTTTTCCTGAAATTGAAAATTGCCCGTTAGCCTACGCGCGCGCGGCTCCCTATTGTTCGCCGGGGCTGCTCGCAGCTGTAAGGCCAGCTTGAGTCAACAGAGATACGTCCGTCCTCGCCGTTCGTCGTAATGCCGCGGGAAACAAGTCGAACTTTTCCGGTAAAAAGAGGAAAACGACTTGGCGATGAGCGGCGCGGTCAACTTTGCGCGCGATGAAAACACGCGAGAGAGAGAGAGAGAGAGAGAGAGAGAGAGAAAGAGAGCGAGAACAAGTCTCTCGCCGCTGGATCCAAATGCCGCGCTCGAGAGTGCTCGAAATAACGGTACGCTACGGGGTTACACCTCTGTCCTTGCTTGTCTATTGTACATTCTCGCGATGTGAGCATGTGTGCGTGCGCGAGTACGCGCGAGTAGCAGCTTGCATCGATATTACTCAGCCGACCGGTATCGACATACATACGGACACACTAACGTCCAACGTGACTGTTGTGTAAACGAGAAAGTAGTATCGCGGCGGTATTTGCAAGGCTCAGCCAAGATCGTTACCGCCAGTCCGATCTCTGTAACTAGCCATCGTCAAGAGCGCTCGATCGGCTTCGAGGTGTTCGCGAGAACGTTAGGCGGAGTTCATCTGAGCTGATCTGAAGGGAAAATCCACGGAGGAAAATCGATTCGATGGAACTGCGCTGCATCTTTCAGCCGACCCCCTCATTATACAGCGTTTTCACCGTTCAAATGCTCGCGTCGTTTGCCGAGAAGACCGAAGGTCAGTCGCAAGCGAAACTGCAATCGCAGCAAGAGCGAAGAGCGCCGCGATAACGCGCGATCGTTCGCGAGCTGAGGAAGTAAAAAGATCGCTCGATCGCGCTCGATCGACCGGGGCGATTCGCGGACTGCGTATCGATATCTCGGCCGTGCCAATCAAAAATGGCGGCAATGGCGGCGGCGGCGACGGCAGCGGCGGCGGCGACGAAGATACTTACGAAACATTCCGCAGCGTCGTCCATGAAGCCGAGCTGGAACCTCTGCTGATCGAGGAAGCTTTCGGCCAAGGCGCGGCGCAGCGTGTCGGGCGGCAGCGCGCTTTCTTGCGAAAATTGCAGCTGCGAGAACAAATCCTGAAACGAGACAATGTGACGAGGATTTAATACGGGAGAGTGCTCGCATAGAAGCGGCCGCGTCGTCGTCGTCGTCGTCGTCGTCGTTATCCGGGAGACGCCGCCGACACGAGACGGCGCGAAACGCAAATAAATACGGTTTCCGCCGAGCAGGTGCGGATTCGAGCGCGGAGTCAACGGGCGGAATAAATTTTCATCGTGTTACGGGAGACAGAGGGGCTTCGGCTTTTCGTCTAGCGAGCGTAGCGCGCGCTGCGACTCCATCCGTTCTCGGCTGTCTGACGGATGTCGTCTCGTCGGTCTCCTGAATCACGCACGCTTATGCCCACCTTGATTAACTCAACCGGCTGCTTTCATTTTTAACCAGGAATCGACCAGACGCATCTGTCGTTAATCAGAATTAACAGTTGCGATTGGTCGATTTTGATGGAACAACCAGCTGATTGTATAAATTAACCATTAGACCAAGGGTTCCCAACCGGGGATGCGAGGAAAAGCGATTGTAATTAATAATGTTTCAGATGAATTCAGGAATAATCCGGCATTTTTACCATCAAATTAAAAAAAAATGTTATTAAAATTATATATTTTTACGTATTTGTACATATATATTCATTACGTATCACTATGCAAAGCATGGCTAATAATAATTTTATAATATTAAAATGATGGTTAATTTCTATAAAACAATACTATGTAATAATAAATTATTATTATTAATTAACTTCTTACCTTAAAACCCTAACAATTAATTTTTACCATAAAACATACGAATAATTTTTTTTTGTAGTGGGTGCGAAGGTTCATTAATAAATTTTTAGGAGTGCGGAATACAAAAAAGATTGGGAAACCTTGCATTAAACGGAAAATCATCTTCGCGGATTGGCCAAGAACCGGCCGAGATGGCCATACGGAAAAAATAGCCACGGACTGTAATTTGCTCAATTTTTTCTAGTTATTCTCACAAAGATAGTTGATATTCACAGATAGTTGATATTTATGTATTAAGTTTGTGCAAAAATAATTGCGATTTTTATCGTTTTAAGTTTGGCGGCGATTTTTTTAGAGTTACCGTTATCTTTTCCAGAATTCTATCTTGAATAAACAAACTTGTTGCCCGTTGGGAGAAATGTGTGCAGGCCAATGATCTTTATTTTGATTAACTAATATAATTTTTAACTGACATATGCATCTTTATATTCGATATAAAAACCGCAATTATTCTTGCACCAACCTAATACATACTCTATTCGAAATAACATACCGATATAAATATTATATCATAGCCATCTCTCAGCTGAGTTTATTTTATTACGCGGAGTCGCGATTATTCATAGCCTAGCGGAACAGCATCGCGATTCTCAGTTATATCTGCGAATATGGATTCTCCCGTCACGCGGAGACTCGTCTCACCTTGGATGGAATAATTATGCCGTTATAGGTAACGATCGCGCTGCATCAAGCGAGTAATTCCAAGCGCTCGATCGCGAGGACGGTCTCGGCAAAGGTCTCGCGCGAGCAAGCGGCAGGAGGAAGTTGATTTGAATTTTCTCGTCAGCGCTCTTACGTCAGCGCCGATAAAGCCGCGGATTTCGCGATAAAACCGCGACTGTGCATCGCGCCGCGCCGCGCCGCGCCGCGCCGCGCTCTGCTTCTTTCATTTGCCTAATCAACATATCCGCGAGATGATCGCGGACGCGGTGCATAGGTAATCTCGCGGAGCGAGTCCGGGCGATTTCGCAACGATCGGCCGAGCGAAAGCCCGGACTCGGCGGGCATGCACACGCGACGGGACATCGACCACGCGTTACCTCGCGATTTTTGCGACTCGCGTCGCCGCGCCGCCGCGCCGTGGTGCACGGCGGAGGTCAAATAGAAGTGCCGGCGACCGGTCGTAATTCGCGACCTATCGGCAGCAGACGGGCCCGCTGGCTTTTGCAACCGATCCCCCGGCGATCGTCGAGCAGCGGTCGCGCGTAGAAAGTCGCAGTCGCGGCGTTTGCTCAATACGCTGTATTTCGCGAATGTCCGACAAAAATGCACCGGCTGGCTGCAAGAAGTAGGAAGAACGGCTCGAGCCGAGACGCGGCCCGATCCCTCTGCCAGAGTTGTGCCAATTTTGCTTCTTACGTCTTAGGGTACAGTCATATGACGCTCAAAATAACGGAACGGAAGAGAAACGGAAAGAAAACAAGCGGTCAGGGTTAACCAGTCAGAGCAATTCCGTTCCACCGTTTCACTGTGAAACAACGGAACGGAACAGAATGATTGGTTAACCCCTAACTAATTTTCCTTTTCCGTTTCTCTTCCGTTTTGCTATTTCAAGCTCCACGTGACTGTACCCTCAGGGAGGAAGAAGAAGAAGAGAAAGAAGAAGAAGAAGAAGAAGAAAGAGCATGTGGTACTGGCATGTGTAAAACAGCAAATCGCGATGAATGGAGTAGCGGGGGACAACCAGGCGGGTTCGATTTCTAGGATTCCGCGAAGAACGCGGATGTTTCGCTCGGGATTCGTGCCAGTCATTGTCTGATTTGTTACGTCCGCGTGTCGACACCGAGGTGGTGATCCAGAGTGATCCACACTGTGTCAATTCGCGTGTCGAGTGAAATTCCTCAATGAAAGTCGCTGCGCACGACGCGGTCTGCTGACGCGGTAGTGACAGATGTGGTACGAGCGCCGGTCGACGTAAAAGCGATACGATAGTAACGGCATGTCCACGTGCGTCAGGAATAGGAGGATGCGGCACCTGTTCGTGGCGGACTCGCCGACTGGCGAGGAGGAAGAAGAAGAAGAAGCCAGCCGGTTTAAGCCGGTCTGCGCGCGTCTGAAAACGCGTTTAGATCGTCGGGCGAGAGCGTTGAATGAAATCGTCGCTCGTCGCGCTGACGCGTTTTCGCGCGAAAAATTACTTTTTTTCTTCAGTGTGATATATAATGTAACGTATATTATAATATTTCTCGTCACACATCGACGTGCGCGCTCATGCGCGCGCGAATAGGAGAGAGTGAGCTCGCAAAGCGCCATGTGCTTTTTCAGAAGCTTTCACACGCCCGAGCATTCTCAGGCGAGCAGAGCCCCCGCGGTAATATGAGGAGAAACCGAGCTCACCTGTCTGTCCTGATTGTCTCAACGCGCTCGGCCTAATGACTAAATTCATTATCGATAATTTGTCGCAGGGATTAGATTAATTAAGAAGCAGCTGCACGAAAGCCGGATTAATTGCCGCTGCGTCTGCCGTTAAAAATCAATTCTGGCGCGATGTGTATCGATGAAGCGAATAATAAGGCGTAGGAAAGCGTACTTTTTTCAAATCGCTCAGCTCATTATTCGACACCGTGTCCTCCTTCTCCATACCGCTGTCCTCCTCCTCCTCTTCTTTGCTGTCAACTTCCGCCTCGGCCCTCATCTCATCGGCCTTGATTTCCGGACGAGGCGCGGCTGATAGCGCCGCTTTCGGCACGGACGCGTTCGTCGCCGACGCGTTCTGACGAACTTTCATCCACTTCAACATCTTCACATTGCCCGCACGCTCGGAATCACAGGCGTTAACTTTTTCGTTCCGTCATCGTCGCGTTGTTCCGCGACGAGTACCTCTCGCGGTTATCTCGGCGCGTTAAGCAAATTTATACAGCGACAGACTCGGCCAAAGTGCGGATGGCAAGTCCAAACTCAGAACGAAAGCATCACGCTAAATAAACCGAATGTCTTCCAGGGACCCGCTGGAGATAAATACGAATTTCCATCCGGCGGGAAACTCCTCGTGCTGAATCCTCGACCCGATTCCCGCCGGCTGTTTGCAGTGCCTGCACGCGACACGTGTGATAACCTCACTTGGTACCCCGTATAAGCTCATAATACGCTTCCTCCCAAGCATTCCACCAAGCTTTTTAAACAATGGCGTGTCCCTTCAGTCTGCTATTTCCAAGCAGCCTCGAGCAGCTTAACTCGACCCTCATCGAACCTTCCAAATTTTTGACAAGGACCACTTCATACCCCGCTCAACCTTCCTGACATTTTCTCTCTTATCTTCGAAGTATATCGTGCTCTCTCGTGCTTTTCGCAAGCGTGGATTGCGGCTCGATGTCGCAACGTAAGGGACGCCACCGCCGACGACGTCCCTCGGTTTTACAACGTGGCTTTTGAGTAATAACACTCTCCAGCGCAGCCACCGAGATGTCAGTCAGATAAACGAGAGAGTGTTTAGGCGCATAAAACGAGCGAGAGAGGAAACGCGAAGGTTGACGATGAGCAAGCTGTTATATCTCTGGCGAGAGAGTCTCGAGGCAGATGCTGCTTCATAAAGAATGGAGGAAGAATCATATCCAGCAACAGCTTGCCGGATACGCCGGCGGGAGAACCCGTTGCCAGACGAGTATCGTAGACTCGGCAAGAAAAAGAAGACTCGTTCAGCCGGTGAAGTCACCTCGTAGATTCGCGAACTTCAGCCAGTTATCGGGACTGGCGCGAGCCTGGCAATCGATTGCGACTCCGATCCTCCGGCCGAGCTCCCCGACATGATCCCGCGGCGACATCCCCGATGAGAGAACTCGTTCGCTCGCAGCGAGGATCGGTCGGCAGGATCGTTGGAAGAATTTCAAGTGATCGCACGGCAAGAAAAGAAACGAATCTCCTTGGAAGATGATCTCCAATATCCGCTGAATATTTATGAAGATTATACCAGAATTTCCCCAGCTAGCTAGATCAGGGTGCAATGGCTGCTCGTAAATCCCAGAGTGGACCTTCCCCCCGAACGGCAACGAGATCGCTTCCCGAGATGCTGGCGATTACTTTGCTTCAGCCACTTGGTTCCATCTCGACGTACCACGTGCAGCTCTCTCTCTCTCTCTCTCTCTCTCTCTCTCTCTTGCTCTCTCGCTCTCTCTTTCTCTCTCTCTCTCGTCTCGCAGCGTTAACTTCTCAGAGTGAAGAAGAGCGACCTTCCGATGCCGTAACCGCCGCCATCGATCCACTACATCTTCCAGCACGAACATTCGCCGAGG